TGTCGCAATCGTTCTTCTTAAAACGCTTCTACATAAATTCATTATGTATATTTCCGATCGAATAGGAGGGACAATGCTTCCCAAAGGCAACCCTTCAATCAACTAGTTTCCACGAACACGTGCATTCCTATTCTCACTGATTAAGTTCTTCATAATCTGGTTGATAATTAAACACAAGAAGTGGTTACATAGTAGGCAAACTGAACGCTGTTGTTCAATTATAGATAATTGTTTAATCACCATTTCTTAACGATTTAAAGTGGCACAGACTTTTTTTATTTGTCCTCGTCGTTCGTCATCTTCGATTTCTTTCGTTCTGTAATGCTTGGTTGATTCAACTCTTTGAAATTGAATACAGGATTTGGGGTATCACTCAAGTTTTGTAATTAAAGATCGACGTTTCGTGGAAAATAGAAATTTATTAGAAATTTATAAATATTATATTATTTATATTTATTAATAAATGAATGTACCTGAACGGAGATTAAGACTGTCTAAGGATGAGATGGTAGAGCTATATAAAGGTTTTGGGAAAATGAACTTTGAATATCGAGGAAAAGTGTGGAGGATCAGGAATGAGTAATGATGATTTTAGTAACCGGCTACTGATTAGGGATAAGAGCTTAGGTATATGAGAAATATTTACGTGTAGTTCGACAGGATTTACCGTCGATCCAGGGATAACTTAAGAAAGAAAGGATCGACGATGGAGACGATTCTTTATTCCCAATACTTACCTGTTGCGTGTCTGCACGCCGCGAGAATGGTCGATTTTATTACATAACAGAAACGAATGCATAGGTGCACGCGTGCACGAGTTTGTACGTGCGGCTCAAAACTTAGCGAACACCCGATGGGATTCGAAACATTGATGTCGAACGAACGATGCAATTCTGGTATCTGATTCGTTTAAGTTCGTCCAGGGTAAAATGAAAGACGTTTACTTATGAAACGTTGAATAAACATAATACGAAACGAATGAAATCCATTCCTGACGTTCATTAGTTAGGATAATTTTAAGCGGCGGTGTATAGAGTATCCGAATCGACCAAGCGTACCTCTGTTACGAGATAACGGTCCGGGGCCGTGCCAGTCTCCGTGGAAAGAATCGTCAGCCAGTGGGAAACTGTACTGACCGCGAAGCCAGTGTTTCCGATCCGTTCCCTCCGTCTACAAGCATTAACCAGCTCGTATCCTTTCCTTTGAAGATAAAGCGATTCTCGACGACCTTGCCGCGTCGTTACGATCGTCAAGGATGACGTTATAATGACGCCTAATGACGCCGGTTTTCTCTCCTCTTCGTTCTCTTTAAACGACGCCTTTTTTTTAAATAAAAGACAAGTAAAAGTGTGTTGATCTCGGCACGAAAGGAAAGAGAACTCGCGAGGAGCACCACGAATACATCTTCGTTTCAGCTACGTTTCATGATCGATCAATGAAACAAACGCATACCTGGCGTTAATGGATTAATTCGATTAACGCGAAGAATTCCAGACAAAAATGCATTCACCGTGCAAAAAGTGATACGCGGCACGAGAGAGCAACATTCTTTTCTCAGAATTTGTCGCAAGCCGCGCGTTTCATTTTCTTTCTTTAAACGAAATAACATACTTTCGTGGTGTCGCAATTATTAATGGGAGGGAAAAATCGTAAGGATTTCTCTGCGGGAAGCCTGCAATTATACACTGATTGCACGTACGAATCGTTCTAGCCGGAGTGGATCGTTGTCAGTGGCTATTTTTAGTACGTTATTTACGCATTTCTTTAATTTCACGCTTCCTGTATCATTAAACGGTTCGAACAATCAGATGTACTCGGTGTCTCGTTGCATACGCGCGACCGCACGTATTTTACGTGTTCTGCCGTGCAATTACGATACGTCTCTTTCACCCGTCGAACGGAATGATTGCGAAACCATCGGAATCGATCGGAACGACATTTCAATTTTTCGTTATTTATTTACTCCGTGTATATAGTTTCAACAGAAATTCTCTGCGCTCTTTCTAATCGTTCTCCGTGCTCGCAGATACTTGCCAATAGTATTTATTTATCATTTCTCAAGCAGTTTCAAGCGTTCGCGAAACAGAACTACATACAATCTTTTAATGTTCCAATGAAAAGTGATTCACTCTGTACGTGACGTTTCGCAAAAACGTCGAGCGAGCATTCTCGCTCGGCCGATTCCTTATAATTGAATATCTGCAATTAAATAAATAACGATTGGATCAGCCTTGACAGAGGTGCGCGCGTGGTTGTTCGGGCCTTTATCGTCGCTTACTCCAAACCCGCGGTTTGCATACGTTCACGATCGATTAACGGTTCGCGACTAATAGTTTATTCCAGCCAGCGACGCATTTGCAATCGAGAGATTGCGTTGTCCACTTTTTTCTTATTTCTTTCTCTGTTTGTTTCTTTGTTACTCGGCTGGATCCGAAGTACGCGAGACGGGAGCAACCGGTATTTAGGTGTATGTATCTAGTACCGGTAGATCGTGAATCAGGCCTTCATCGATCATGTATCTGGATTAGTTGTCGGCTCGTTCAATGTTTACAAGCTGACACATTCTCGTTGTAACGTTCATACCTGGATCAGAGACTTATAATATTTGACGTTTAGAGAATCTACCGTCAATACGTTCTATGATTCAAGACTTATCTATGATTGCTACTAACGGAGCCCGGCTAGAATCCAACGAATTAAACGTATCTGACGAACGTGACTTTTGTGCAAAATAAAACCTCCGTAACAGGTAACCGAGTACGTCTTATCTGTTATTCAACAGAACAGATTCAGCGTGAAAAGTGTTTTCGTCGAGTCTATACTTTGGATGAGTTTCTCTCTTTGACTCTGGGAAGCAACTCTTTCATTCATTTTCGTTCTCTAATCGTCTGGATTCAAGTCTCTCATTTCGCTGCTCAACCTATTTTCATACTTATCATTGGAACATTGCGTATTTCCGTTTCTATGTGTCCATACACAGTCTGTAAAGTTTTAACTGATTTTAACACTAGAAAGACTGAAACTTAGTATATACCTATAT